CTAATATTTGTTTTTAATTTAAAAAAAAAATACATAGGTTTTACATATATTTATGAACTTAACTAAGATCTAATTATATGGAATGCATGCGTTACGTAAATATGAAGAAAAAATGGTTATACAAATATAATAACAAGGATTATTCTATAAAGGGCAGTGAAAAGAGGTGGTGAAAATTTGATCAAAAATATAATATAATGTTTATATTAAAAATTGGATACAGGTGTACAAAAATAAAATAAATGTATCTTTTAATATAAATATTGTCATGAAACTTAGGTCACTTATATGTGATGTGAAATGCAGTTAGTATGGCTTCAATTTGAATTTGATATTGAGATCAAAAAAAAGAAAAAAAGAAAGTTGCCATTGTTCATGAGTAATACTGATTACAAAATTATAATAAATACTAAACAGTAAACATATAAAATTATTARAGGTCTATATATAACATAACAAATATTTAAAAAGGTGTTAAATGAAGCGCAGGCATAGCGTGCATTTTAATATTAATAATTAAATTAACAGAATTAATCACAACAACAACCAAACCATCCTAAGAATGACTGTGGCACAAAATAAAAAGTTGTAATGCCTATAATAATTGGTATGGTATGAATACAAAATTCCGATTTTAAATTAAATATATTTATATATGTATGAATTTCTTGTTTTAATATATTAAAAATAATACTATTTCTTCTTTCCAATTGAAATTAAATGGTTAAGTTACTTAGTTTTTCTAATGTTCCTATTTCTTTTCATCATGAACTGAAAAACGTTTTTATCACAGACAAGGAATTCTAATATGAAATTAATAGACACGTTACAAAAATACAACCATTAGTTACAACAAAAGACAACAATATAGCCTGTATCTTTACAATCAAATATTTTTAAAGCATTATTGGTCAAATAAAAAACAGTAATACTGACATGAAAAGCTTTGGTTTTAGGGCAGGGAAGATTTGTTAAAAATGCATAAAAATATTTTATGTATTATCTAGGCAAATGAGTAAATGCCAAAAATATTTGTCAAAAATTAAACATAAGTGGCAGCAGAGGACGAACCAGTGACAGCTTGAAGTGGAGTTTGAGGTTGTGGTTGAGGTTGAGATTGCTGTTGCCGATTTTTTCTAGCTGTACCATATTGACCAATAAAAGATCCATCCTCCGTAAACTGAGCTGTTTATTAAAATATATATATAAATAAAAAGATTTTTACAAATAATAAATTTACATTTGTGATTATGTACTCACACTTTTAGACAAGTGTGGCGAAACCAGCAGAAGTGGTTTCGCCTTGTCTTTTTTTACCATACAAGCCAATGAAAGAGCCATCTTCATTCATTCCTTCTACAAGTGAAATGGAAGAGAAAACAAAACAATAACTAACATGCAAGAACTTGAAAAACATACTGGATATAAAAATGTGTGCAATTGGGTAAAATAAAATAATTTAATTTAAACTTATTGGAATATTTGTAATGTAAAATTATTTACAGAACCTATTTACTTTCTAATGAGCTACAATAATTATTATTCTACTTTCAAGATGTTTTTTTTTTTTTTTGAGATACCAACATTCACACAAAACAACATATTTTATACTAAGTTTGAATTGTATACTAAATGAAGACAAACTATATGAAAATTTGTAATTTTAAGTGATAATAACAAATATTCAGCAACAGGGAAGTAAATGGCGTAGAAAAGGATATTTTGTAAATAAAACATATAAACAATAAAATTGATGCAATTAATACTAGAAATATTATATATACCTGTATCTCCTTCACCATACTCTGCCATTGAGTCAGTATCACTTTCTGGAGACTGTTTTTCACTTCCTAATCTTTTTGCACCACCAAGTCTAATAAAAAAAAAGGAAACATATTTTTTTTACAAACATATTATAAGCTAGTAACTTGTTAATACATACGGTTGAGAATATTCAAGAAAATGAGGTTCATCAGGATAATCATGTCTACCACGTGCTGCTTCTGATTCATGTACTACATATTTTCCTCCTCTATTACGTTTTACTATGCATACAATAATTAACAGGATAATCAGGAATAACAAAGCTAACAGCATTGCAATAAACCATCCTGATGTAGCCATATTCTCGCTTCTTCTAATTATAGGATCTAAATAAATGATGGTATAAATTAGTATTTTATWGCTATATTATATATATTTATTAATTGTGATTAAATTCACAATTATAGTAAATAAGCAATTCATTTATGCATACACTATTATAACAAAGTTACATAATATATAAAAATCTTCTTTAATCAGTTACCAACATACATCAAATAAAAAATAATAAAATAAGAATTTAGCATTAAAAATGTACCAGTGCTTGATGCCTCAATTTCAGCAATATCTGATTCTTTCATGGTATTACCATCTACAGCAACTACGACAAATTCATACAATTCTCCTGGTTTCAAGCCTTTTACATCAATAAAATTCTTGTCAAGTTCAGGTTTAGTTTCCTCGTACAAGTTGGCACCTTTAAGTCTATAAAAATTAATTTAAATTATGTGAAAATACATGAAAAAAGAATGGTATTGTTTTAATTTTAATTTTTACTTACTTGTATTTTACAAAGAAGTGAGATCCCGGGTTTCCTTTAAGTTCAGGAGTCCACAAAATTCGAATTGTATCAAAAACATTATTATAAGCTTTATGCTCATAATGGAATACTGGTTTATCCAATTCAGTTCCTTCGGGTAAGGGAGGTTTGGTTTGTGTTTCAATGAAAAATCTATAATGGAATATTATATAATTATTTCAAATAATTTTAAATACAAAAAATGTACACGTACGGTTCACCAACGCCAGCCTTAGTAGTAGCTTTAATGTAGATTCGATAATTAGTTGATGGTTTGAGTGAAGCCAATTTAGCATTAGT